CCTGTAATTCCAGCTACTTGGGAGGCTGAGGCAGAAGGATTGCTTGAACCCGGGAGGCGGAGATTGTAGTGAGTCGAGATCAGGCCACTGCACTCCAGCCTGGGGAACAAAGCAAGACTCCGTCTCCAAAAATAAAAAAATAAAAAATAAATAAAAATAAAAATGGAAGGCCAGGTGCGGTAGCTCATAACTGTAATCCCAGCTCTTTGGAAAGCCAAGGTAGGTAGATCACTTGAGGTCAGGGGTTCGAGACCAGCCTGGCCAACATGGTGAAACCCCATCTCCACCAAAAAATACAAAAATTAGCTGGGTGTGGTGGTGTACACGTGTAGTCCCAGCGACTTGAGAGGCTAAGGCAGGAGAATTCTGCTTGAACCTGGGAGGTGGAGGTTGCAGTGAGCTGAGATCACACACCACTGCACTCCAGCCTGGGTGACAGAGTGAGACCCTGTCTCAAAAAAAAAATAAAAATAAAAATAAAATTACCATATATATGATCCAGCTTCTGTATACCCACTCTGAGTATACATTAAGCCCTCACTTAATGTTATCAATAGATTCTTGGAAGCTGTAACTTTTAAGTGAAACAACCTATAACAAAACTTGGTGTTTTTTTTCCTCATCAATGTTATAGGAAACAGTGTTATTCTAGGACTTGCTGTGCATTCTTTCTCTTGAAGTTGCAGTTTCTGAGAACGTATGAATAATGTTAAGTGAGGACTTACTGTATACCCAAAAGAAGATAGTTGTACACCTATATCCACAGCAGCATTATTCATAGTAGCCAAAAGTTAGAAGAAATCCAAGTGTCTATCAGTGAATGAATAGTAAACAAAATACGGTATATGCATCCAGTGGAAGATTATTCAGCCTTAAAGAAGAAAATTCTGACTACATGCTGCTATATGATTCCACTTACATGAGGTAGCACAAATAGTATACAGAATTGTATGTTTAAAAATGGTTAACTAGGGCCGGGCACAGTGGCTCATGTGTGTAATCCCAGCACTTTGAGAGGTCAGGAGTTCAAGACCAGCCTGGCCAGCCAACATAGTGAAACCCCATCTCTACTAAAAATACAAAAAATCAGCCGGGTGTGGTGGCAGGTGCCTGTAATTCCAGCTGCTTGGGAGGCTGAGGCAGGAGAATCACTTGAACCCAGGAGGCGGATGTTGCAGTGAGCCAATGTTGCAGTCGCGCCATTGTGTTGCAACCTGGGTGACAAGGGTGAAACTGCGTCTCAAACAATCAAACAAACAAAAAAAATGGTTTAACAAGGCTCATGCCTGAATCCTAGCACTTTGGGAAGCTGAGGCAGGTGGATCGCTTGAGCCTAGTAGTTGGAGGCCATCCTGGGCAACATAGTGAGACCCCGTCTCTATAAAAATACAAAAAGCGAGCCAGGTGTGATAGTGCATGCCTGTAGGCCCAGCTACTCAGGAGACTGAGGAAAGAGATCTGATTGACCCTCCTGGGAGGTCGAGGCTGCAGTGAGCAATGATCATGCCACTGGACTCCAGCCTGAGTGACAAAAGGAGACCCTATCTCAGGAAAAAAAAAAAAAAAAAAAAATTGGAAACAAATGTCCATCAATTTTGTAGTTGTGTCTGGTTAAACTGTGGCACTTTTATAGTGAAACACTATGCATTGTAAACAATGTTTCTGTTAAAAAAAAACAAAACTTTTTAAAACAATAATAACGCTATGCCACTGTAATAAAAGGTTAAAGTAGCTCTTTATATATAATTGCCTGTTTATGCATAAAATGTCTGGAAGGATATACAAGAAACTGAAATCTTGGCTGGGCGCAGTGGCTCACGCCTGTAATCCCACCCAGCACTTTGGGAGGCCAAGGCGGGTGGATCACGAGGTCAGGAGATGGAGAACATCCTGGCTAACACGGTGAAACCCCGTCTCTCTAAAAAAAATACAAAAAAGGCTGGGCGCGGTGGCTCAAGCCTGTAATCCCAGCACTTTGGGAGGCCGAGACGGGCGGATCGCGAGGTCAGGAGATCGAGACCATCCTGGCGAACACGGTGAAACCCCGTCTCTACTAAAAAATACAAAAAAGCTAGCTGGGCGAGGTGGTGGGCGCCTCTAGTCCCAGCTACTCGGGAGGCTGAGGCAGGAGAATGGCGTAAACCCAGGAGGTGGAGCTTGCAGTGAGCTGAGATCCGGCCACCGCACCCCAGCCTGGGCGACAGAGCAAGACTCCGTCTCAAAAAAAAAAAAAAAAATTAGCTGGGCATGGTGACGTGCGCCTGTAGTCCCAGCTACTCGGGCGGCTGAGGCAGGAGAATGGCATGAACATGGGAGGCAGAGCTTGCAGTGAGCTGAGATTGCACCACTGCATTCCAGCCTGGGCGATAGAGTAAGACTCCGTCTCAAAAAAAAAAAAAAGAAACTGAAATCTTATATGGAGGAAACTGGGTGACTAGGGACAAGGGTGGCAAGAAAATTTCATCATATACCCTTTTGTACCTTCTGAATTTTGAATCATGAATAATTGCCTTCTCAAAAATTATAAATAAGTTGTGTTATTACAACTTTTATTTTGACTTCTAAGATGGAATTGTCAGCCACCTGAAGAAGCAGGCAGGACCAGCTTCAGTGCCTCTCAGGACTGAGGAAGAATTTAAGAAATTCATTAGTGATAAAGATGCGTCTGTAGTAGGTAAGTAGCAAATATTAAACCGTGCCACAGAATCATCAACTTGATTTCCAAAACCCTCCATGTCTGGGAAAGCCACAGAATTAAAGCAGTTAAGGAAACCTTGGGGCAGTTGAAAAGGCAACTGACAGAATTGGGTTAGCAGTTAATATAATGTACTATAGTACATTATATAATTAGTATATAATGTAATTATAATGTGGGGGCAATTGGTGTTTTATTTGGGTGGGTTTGTGTTCTTATAGATGTGAAGGTTTAATTTCAATTAAAGGACTAGGAGGGGTGGGCATGGGAGAAAAAATAAAGGACTAGGATAGGAATATCTTCAGCATTTTCTAATGCTTCTTAAACTCTGAGATTTAACTCATATAATAAGGTAGTTATGACTGAAAATAAGGTTTTGAGGTTGGAAGATACAAGTAAATAATAAAACTCTGCTATTTTCACAATAATTAGGGAACTTAAAAGTTAAAATCAGATTGCTAGGATTTGTCTTGTTTTTGCAGCATTCATTGCTTTCTCATGTGTCGCAATATCTCATTTTTAAATGACATGAGCAAGTTAAACACTTTCTGCATCTTAGATGTTCATTGTTTTGTTTTTTAAATGTGATATATGATAAATTTGACTAAAAAATAAATATAAACGTAAAAGCTATGTTTGTACTTCTCTTAGTCTCCTAATTACTGTAATAAAACTGACTTTTGCTGGGCGCGGAGGCTCACGCCTGTAATCCCAGCACTTTGGGAGGCTGAAGCGGGCAAATCACCTGAGGTCAGGAGTTCTAAACCAGCCTGACCAACATGGAGAAACCTTAGTCGGGCGTGGTGGCACATGCCTGTAATCCCAGCTACTTGGGAGGCTAAGGCAAGAGAATCGCTTGAACCCAGGAGGCAGAGGTTGGGGTGAGCCAAGATCGCGGCATTGCACTCCAGCCTGGGCAACAAGAGCAAAACTCTGTCGCAACACAAAAAACAAACAAACAAAAAATACTGACTTTCTGGCAGCAGAATATGGTTTACTATTTAAATTTGGCCAAAAGCCACTTTTTATCACCTAAATTTTACTGATTCTTTTTCGTTTACAAGGAGTTAGCATGTATTCATTAAACATTTATGTTTTAGTCACTTTTCTAAATGAGTAGTTCTAAAGACAAAGAAAAAAATTGGGTGAAGTGGTTTACAGTTTATTTTGAGGTATCATCTTAATCCTTCTGATACCTGAAACTCTTAAGCAATTTGCCCGAATTTGTTCAATTATGGGAAAGTAGAATGAAGACTTGAACACTGACAAATTTTCTCCCTTGGCTCTCTCAAGAAATGTGTCCGTAAAGGGTAGAGGGAAAATTCTCATCCTAAATATTGTGCCTGTCTGAGGTAGTCATGACAAAGCAGACCCAGTCCTCAAAATAGAACGAAACCCTTGAAAAATAGACGTTTACGGTTTGGAATATCTATCTGTTAGCACTTATTGCTTCTTCCTTGTGTTTAATATTTTCTGTATAGGTTTTTTCGATGATTTATTCAGTGAAGCTCACTCTGAGTTCCTAAAAGCAGCCAGCAACTTGAGGGATAACTACCGATTTGCACATACGAATGTTAAGTCTCTGGTGAACGAGTATGATGATAATGGAGAGTAAGTGATTGAGTTGAATCTCCAGACGAAGTATTATTGTGTGAACTGGTGTGATTGATTGACTGATTGATTGATTGGGACAGGGTTTCACTCTGTCACCCAGGCTGGAGTGCAGTGGTGTGATCTCTGCTCACTGCAACCTCCGCCTCCCAGGTTCAAATGATTCTCACGCCTCAATCTCCTGAGTAGCTAGGAGTACAGGCACGTGCCACCATACCTGGCTAATTTTTGTATTTTTAGTAGAGACAGGGTTTCATCATATTGCCCAGGCTGGTCTCAGATTCCTCTGCCTCCCAAAGTGCTGAGATTGCAGGCATGAGCCACCGTACCCATCTGAATTGGTCATTTTTATACCTAATTTTTCCCAAGGGTTTATTGAGTACTTTCGAGGCATTATGCTACATGCCAGAAACTATTGCTGCCTTCAAGGAACAACCCTCTATCTAGTAAAGGGAGATTGTATACATGAACATATGTAAAAATGAAAGTATAAGTATATATAGAACTATATGCAGAGTGGTTGGAAGTACAAAAGAGGGAGTGATTGTTTTTCTTCTTTTGGGGTAGGTGGGTAATATCAGAAAAATTCATAGAGGGGGTGACTCTTGAAGGATGAGGTTTATAGCCTTTGAAATAAAAATTATTCCAGATAGAGCACCAGGAGTGAAGGCCTTGAAATGTAAGATAGCCTAGGCATGTTGGGGCCCATAGTACTGCTGGAGTATTGTTTGTGATTGAGATAATGAAAGATAAGATTGGAGTATTAAGCAAAGACCAAATTATAAATTTTAAGTGCCATACAAAAGAGCTTAGATTTTATCTTTTAGACATTTGAGAGCCATTGAAAGACTCTGGGCTGGGGAGTAATGCCTAGTGTTCTATTATTAGAATACTAAGCTTGTGGGAGTGGTAGCCTCCTGCTCAAGGTCATTGCCAAGGTCTGATCTTTCACAAAAACAATTTACAACCTCCCACATAAATGGGTTAAATTTGTGAAGAAGTCACTGGCAACCACATGATAATGGTTTGAAGGGGGAATGGTGAAAGGCATTCAAAGGATTCTAAGGAGAATTCTAAGGATTATAAGGAGAATCTAAACTGAGGATGACATGTGAGAGTCTAAACTCGGTCAACAGCATTAGTGGCAATGGATAGGAAGGAGTGAGTATAAAAAATGTAAACAATAGTCACTAACCATGTGTGAAAAGGAGAAGATTTAGAGTAAGTTTGAGTTTTTTGTTTTTATTTTTTTCAGACGGAGCCTCACCCTTGTTGCCCAGGCTGGAGTGCAGTGGTATGATCTCGGCTCACTACAACCTCTGCCTCCTGGGTTCAAGTGATTCTCCTGCCTCAGCCTCCTGAGTAGCTGGGATTACAAGTGTGCACCACCACACCTGCCTAATTTTTGTGTTTTTAGTAGAGACAGGGTTTCATCATATTGGCCAGGCTGGTCTCAAACTCCTGACCTTTGGTGATCTGTCTGCCTCAGGCTCCCAAAGTGTTGGGATTACAGGCATGAGCCACCACACCCAGCCTGCTATTGTTTCTAAAGGTTTGAAAATCTACTCTAACCCCCTTTTGAGATAATGAAAAAGCTGAAGACCAGAAGGATTAAATTGAGACCTGGTCCAATGTGTTTGGAATTAGTTGGGGAACTATGATTAGAACCACGTTCTCTTAATTTTCCAACCCAAAATGTATTCAACCCTATACCCAATTATTGCACTTAAGATTAAAGTGGTTAGCATCTTAGTGTTAATGAGACTGTCATGTTGCTGAATCTGTGGTACTAGAAAAGAGTCCTTGTGTGCTTAGATGTTGCTAGTTAAAAGTGGCAGCAAAAGTAGATAGTCTGAGCATTATATGAAACATGGGGGCTCCACCTGTAATCCCAGCATTTTTGGAGGCCGAGATGGGAGAATCACTTGAGCCTGGGAGTTCAAGACCAGCCTTGGTAACATGGTGAGACCCCCATCTCTATAAAAATTTTAAAAAATAAAAAATTAGTTGTGCATGGTGGTGCACACCTGTGTTCTCAGCTATTTGGGCAGCTGAGGTGGGAGGATCACTTGAGCCTGGGAGTTCAAGGCTACAGTGAGCTATGATCATACCACTGCACTCCAGTCTGAGCAACAGAGTGAAACCCTAGCTCAAAAAAAAAAAAAAAAAAAAAAAGGATGGGAGACAGTTCTTCTGTTATCTGCCTACTGAGACTTTTTTTTTTGTTTTAAGGGGTATCATCTTATTTCGTCCTTCACATCTGACTAACAAGTTTGAGGACAAGACTGTGGCATATACAGAGCAAAAAATGACCAGTGGCAAAATTAAAAAGTTCATCCAGGAAAACATGTGAGTACTTCTTTGTATCTTGTCTGGGATTTATTTGCTTGATTTTAGTTTGTTTACCTCAGTTATTAAGCAGAGCTATATTTTGGCTTAAACAGTCTATTTGGGGGGATTGTAATAATAATAGTTTGAGTTTACATTAAAGCAGTAATGTATGGGTGTTAGAACTCCTGTTGTCATCCTGTAAGGTATATATTGCTCAGTACTTGTCCTAAATGTTGAAAATCTCTTTCCTTCATAAATGCTATCAGTTACTTTGTGGCAACTTTATGATATAGCTAAAAACTTGCCAAGCCAGTTGATAATGGATTATTTCATTTCAGTTTCGGTATCTGCCCTCACATGACAGAAGACAATAAAGATTTGATACAGGGCAAGGACTTACTTATTGCTTACTATGATGTGGACTATGAAAAGAATGCTAAAGGTTCCAACTACTGGAGAAACAGGTAATAAGAATTATGTTTTTCCCACATGGACAAGTTTACCCAATGTATAAACAGTCCCTTCTAACTATCTTGTTGTTTCCTTAAGAATCTGTAAAACAATAAATGGTTCCTTAAGAAACTGTAAAAAAAAAAAAATTAAAATTACTGTCCTGTTACCATGTGTGGTATAAGAGCAGGAAAGAATGGGAACATTTGGCCTCCAAAAACTACATTTGAAGCCATAGGACAAATAACATAAACTGTTTTCAAAATCTGTTGGGCATGTATTTCATAGGTGTTTCTTTGCTTTGTGACACAGTGACTCTAAGTAGAAGGTGGAAATTTGATATAAAATGCACTTAAACATTGTGCTTACTTGCACATTTAGACTCTCAGTGCATTTTACCTTTACAAATTTTCTTTTCAGATCAGTCATTATGCCTAAAACAGATTTCAGTTGTATATTACAGCAAGATTTAGCAGGAATGCACCAGTTGATTGGGCATCACCAATTTGCCAGTGAAGTTCAGTAAGGCATTGAAGTATATCATAACCCTGTGTCAGGGCTCAGAAGCTCAGACTGTTCAGACTGATTCCAGAAGGCTAGAACTATAGAAGTTAGTCTTTGCTTTCCAGTCACTTGCTGCTTAGTTTCAAAAGTGCTTGACCACCCTGTATAGTCTTGGCACAAATGTCTCTTGTTTCCCACAGGGTAATGATGGTGGCAAAGAAATTTCTGGATGCTGGGCACAAACTCAACTTTGCTGTAGCTAGCCGCAAAACCTTTAGCCATGAACTTTCTGATTTTGGCTTGGAGAGCACTGCTGGAGAGATTCCTGTTGTTGCTATCAGAACTGCTAAAGGAGAGAAGTTTGTCATGCAGGAGGAGTTCTCGTGAGTTGCTAGTTGGGCTTTGATTCTCCAAGGCATTTATTAAAGCCTTTTATACTACAAAGGATTTCTAAAGAACAATAACCCTGGAATGTGAAGATAGGTCTTTTAATCAAGACCTATGACTGTCGTTTTTCTCAATTTAAATATAGATACTTTAGGCCAGGCACAGTGGCTCACACTTGTAATCCCAGCACTTTGGGAGGCCAAGGCGGCGGATCACCTAAGGTCGGGAGTTCGAGACCAGCCTGACCAACATAGAGAAACCCCGTCTCTACTAAAAATACAAAAATTAGCCAGACACAGTGGTGCATGCCTGTAATCCCAGCTACTTGGGAGGCTAAGGCAGGAGAATCACTTGAACCTGGGAGGCGGAGGTTTCAGTGAGCCAAGATCGTGCCATTGCACTCCAGCCTGGGCAACAAGAGTGAAACTCTGTCTCAAAAAAAATAAATAAAAATAAATAAATACATATCGATACTTTAAGGATTATGATCCTTAATGAATTCTGAAAACTAATGAAAGGATAGCAGGTTGGAATTCTTACATAATTCCACTTGGTCATTAATTGCAGATAGAGGCTGAGCACAGTGACTCACACCTGTAATCCCAGCAATTTGGGAGGCCAAGGTATGTGGATCACTTGAGGTCAGGAGTTCGAGACCAGCCTGGCCCACATGGTGAAACCCCGTGTCTATTAAAAATACAAAAATTAGCTGGGTGTGATGGTGTGCACCTGTAATTCCAGCTACTAGGGAGGCTGAGGCACCAGAATCACTTGAACCCGGGAGGCAGAGGTTGCAGTGAGCCGAGATCACGCCACTGTTCTCCAGCCTGGGTGACAGAGCAAGACTGTGTCTCAAAAAAACAAAAAAAGATAAGATTGGACAACCTCCTTTGGGCCAGATGTGGTTGCTCACACCTATAATCCCAGCACTTTGGGAGGCTGAAGCAGGAAGATCACTTGAGCCCATGAGTTTGAGGCCAGCCTAGGCAACATAGCCAGACCCTGTCTCTAAAAAATTGAAAAATCCAAAAAAAGATTGAACAGCCTCATTGATACGGATGTCATTTCAAACCAAACCATTCCCCCCTCATCCCTACAGAATGTATTTTCTTTTTGAAATACCACATGAGTCTAAAGTAAACTCAGAATCAGGAAGATCTTAAGACCCCAGAAACAATTTTTACCCTCACTTTCTGAGATTTTGGGAGATTGAGACAAGAGAAAATATTCCTTGTGAGACAACCAATAAAATGAAATACTGTAAACACACACTATCCTCCAGAGCAATAAGACCTGGTTCTTTTACAAAAATGAATCTCTAGCAGACCAATGATTCTTTCTCTGAACTTTGAAATCCACAAAGAACACACTAGAAATAAAAAACGGTTTGTTTCATCAGTCTGTAGTTCTGCATATTGAGAGATAAGAGTTCCCCTTTTTTTTAGCCTTGAAAAGCTAAAATACATAGTAACTGTTCAAAGCAATTGCTATAATTTTCTCAGTGGTGGGAACAGATTAACAAGCCTTACCCTTGTTTTCCAATTGTAGGCGTGATGGGAAGGCTCTGGAGAGGTTCCTGCAGGATTACTTTGATGGCAATCTGAAGAGATACCTGAAGTCTGAACCTATCCCAGAGAGCAATGATGGGCCTGTAAAGGTGAGGTACTGACAGCCTCATCAAGCTATGAGCAATTGCCTCTCCTCGTTTCTTTGTTCCAAAACTGTGGGGTCTAAATGAAGACTTCATTGGCCATCTCTTTTTTTTTTTTTGTCCTTACTCCCTGAGTCATAAAATAAGCATTGGCAGGCCAAGCGGTGGCTCATGCCTGTAATCCCAGCACTTTGGGAGGCCAAGGCAGGCAGATCATGAGGTTGAGAGTTCGAGATCAGCCTGCCCAACATGGTGAAACCCCATCTCTACTAAAAATACAAAAAAATCAGCCAAGTGTGGTGGCGGGTGCCTGTGTTCCCAGCTACTTGGGAGGCTGAGGCAGGAGAATCACTTGAACCCGGGAAGCAGAGGTTGCAGTGAGTCGAGATTATGCCACTGCACTCCAGTCTGGGTGACAAGAGTGAAACTCCATCTCAAAAAAAAAAAAAAAGCATTGGCAGGGCTCATAATGCTTGGTAGGGGCAAGAGTATAAAGCCTGCATAGAATTTTCTGATGAAATTTATATTGGGCTAAGTTACTCTTGAGGATAGAGCAACCCCTAAGAACAGTGTGTACTTTGAATTTTTTTATAGAGATGTGGTCTTACTCAGTTGCCTCAGCCTTCTGAGTAGCTTGGACTGCAGGCATGTGCCACCAAGCCTGGCTTGAAATTACTTTAAGGAACGGTTGGGTAGCACTTCTATATCCTGTAACTTCCTGAACATAGTTTGATAGGTGACAGACAAAGGAACGAGTTGGTATCTAGTGAATGACAACATCTTTAATCTGTAAATGTGATTTGGGGTTCTATGACTTACTTTCCTTGGTAACACATCAAATTAGAGAGGGATTGGGTCTAGAAACAAATACAGCTTGTGAATTTATTTTTTTATGTTACCTTACCAACTAGAGTTTCCTCTGTGTTTTCCAGGTAGTGGTAGCAGAGAATTTTGATGAAATAGTGAATAATGAAAATAAAGATGTACTGATTGAATTTTATGCTCCTTGGTGTGGTCACTGTAAGAATCTGGAGCCCAAGTATAAAGAACTTGGAGAGAAGGTAAGTATGAACCCTATTCTGATGATAACATTTGAGCGGGAGCAAAGTTTATAAATGTATTCAGCATTGGCTCATTTGCTTGGTTCCTAAGTACTTGTAGATTTTTTTTCCCAATTACTTGCTGTTTACTCACTTTCTCTTGACTGCCCCCTAGTGCTCCAGCCTGTGCAGTGCCTGAGATACCCACTTTTAACATTCCATTCCTCAGGCTCAATCTAGATAATAGTTCAAAATATCTAAGAACTTCTGAATTTTGGTAATGGCTTACATGAATCCATATGGTTCTTCATCTTAAAACATTTGACTTAGCCCCTGTAATGTCTTATTTGGACCAGGTAAATTTGAAGGTTGCAATATGTAGTCTTAATACAAGAGAAAAAAGGGAAGCTTGTGGAAAGTGAGGTACTACCATCTGCAAAGCACTCTTCCCACCTGAACAGCAGTTTATCTGCTGGAATTACAGGTGCGCACCACCACACCCAGCTAATTTTTGTATTTTTAGTGTTTGAAGAATGAGATTGTTTTAAGTCTTGAATTGACTTAAGTGTCCCTCTGTCACTGAAAATTTGAAATGTAAACATTTAACCTGTTTTATTAACAGCTCAGCAAAGACCCAAATATCGTCATAGCCAAGATGGATGCCACAGCCAATGATGTGCCTTCTCCATATGAAGTCAGAGGGTAAGTGGACTAAAAATTAACAAAAGTGTCTAGGCAATTGATTGGAATAAAGCTTGTAACCACCAGGAAATCATTACTAGACATAGTCTTCATATTCCAGTTGAAGGAAGAACCACTGATTCCTTCTTGGCTTAAGAGTTCTGCACATGAGCCCACATAACTGCTTCAAATTAATAAATGTTTCTTTCCCCAGTTTTCCTACCATATACTTCTCTCCAGCCAACAAGAAGCTAAATCCAAAGAAATATGAAGTAAGTGAATTGTCCCATATCCCCACAAATACATACACAGACATAAACACACACTCTTAAACATAGTTCTTTAATTGGGTTGGTTTATTTACTTATTTAATTTTATTTATTTTTGAGACGGAGTTTCGCTCTTGTTGCCCAGGCTGGAGTGTAATGGCGTGATCTCGGCTCACCGCAACCTCCACCTCCCAGGTTCAAGCGATTCTCCTGCCTCAGCCTCCCAAGTAGCTGGGATTACAGGCATGTGCCACCACCCTGGCTAATTTGTATTTTTTTTTTTATTATTATACTTTAAGTTCTAGGGTACATGTGCATAACGTGCAGGTTTGTTACATATGTATACTTGTGCCATGTTGGTGTGCTGCACCCATCAACTCTTCATTTACATCAGGTATAACTCCCAATGCAATCCCTCCCCCTGCTAATTTGTATTTTTAGTAGAGATGGGGTTTCTCCATGTTGGTCAGGCTGGTCTTGAACTCCTGACCTCAGGTGATCTGCCCACCTTGGCCTCCCAAAGTGCTGGGATTACAGGCGTGAGCCACCACGCCAGGCTAATTGGGTTTATTTAACTAAAAACTGTTTAAACTCTCATGGTCAGTATATGTGGCTGCTAATGTGCTTTTACAAACTCAAAAGTCTTCCTGTTTGGAGCAGATCAGGGTTATTTAAAAAGTTACATTTTTAAGGTAATCTTTCTGTTTTCAGGGTGGCCGTGAATTAAGTGATTTTATTAGCTATCTACAACGAGAAGCTACAAACCCCCCTGTAATTCAAGAAGAAAAACCCAAGAAGAAGAAGAAGGCACAGGAGGATCTCTAAAGCAGTAGCCAAACGCCACTTTGTAAAAGGACTCTTCCACCAGAGATGGGAAAACCATTAGGGAGGACTGGGACCCATATGGGAATTATTACCTCTCAGGGCTGAGAGGACAGAATGGATATAATCTGAATCCTGTTAAATTTTCTCTAAACTGTTTCTTAGCTGCACTGTTTATGGAAATACCAGGACCAGTTTATGTTTGTGGTTTTGGGAAAAATTATTTGTGTTGGGGGGAATGTTTTGGGGGTGGGGTTGAGTTGGGGGTATTTTCTAATTTTTTTTGTACATTTGGAACAGTGACAATAAATGAGACCCCTTTAAACTGTCTTACTTTCCACAAGATTGAGAACCAGGTGTTCTCTGCACACTATCACTGTTCAATAGAGCTTTCCTCAGTGATGGAAATGCTCTGTAATCTACACTGTTCAGTACAGGTAGCTATGGAGCATCTGAAATATGGCTAGAAACTACATTTTTAGTCTTCATTAATTTATATAGCAATACAGTTGCTACCATACTGATCACTGCAGCTGTAGACTGACTGACTGGGTCCATAATCACCTCAAAATTCTTTCAAAATTTATTATCTCTTTCTCTCCTTACATGTTTATTGCCCAGGCCTACCCTGGTGATTAGAGAACAGGTGAAGGGCCTTTCTTGTTAGGCTGTCCATGCCCTAAGGATGGGTTCCTGTTTATCCTTGCCACGCAGCTAAGCTTACTGCATATTTATACCTCCCAAGGACTGTTCTCTGCCCAGAAATGCCCTGTCAAGGGTGTGGCATCACAAGGTTTCATCCAAGTTGTTTCAGGAATTGCTGACACTGCTGGGTGCAGTTCTATCTCCCAAAGCCTAGGGTGTGGCCCTTTAACCTCCCCCTTCAGTAGAACTGGGAAAGGCAGTATCATTCCTAGTTATGAGTAAAGCATCCACTTTCTTTTGTAACAGTGAGGAACAGAAAGGACTGAAGAGTGATCTTTTGTCCAACTAAACCATTTATCTCCTTTTGTAGGTAAATTCAAATCCTGCCCAGTTATAGTTTTCAGTCACTGGATAATTCGAGGTAGGAGCGCTACTCTAGGTGATCCTAGGAATTCCTATGTTCAGAAAAGAATTTTCTTCCTACTATATAATTACAGTATGTAGCTGTCAATTTTAAGATGAATTTGATAGAGCCTTACAGCAAAGTATGTATCTTGGTCACACACAGAGCTTGGAAAAAGTAAGAGATGTCTAAACCATAATCTTAGAGATTCTAACTCATAACATCTGGGCTGGGGTCCAGGGATCTAATTGTTTAGAGAGCCCCAAAAGTGTCTCAGATGTGAAGGCAGGGTTAAGAACCACCTGCCTTGGAAGATTTAAGGAAAACATATGAACTTGTACAAAGGACACAGAAGCAGTCAGTTTTAGTTTTTTAGCCATGTTGGTAAAAAAGTTCATTTTCAGTACATGGGTAACACCCAGGCCCTTTCTCATTATATCTAGGTATGCTACAAGTTATTTTAGCTCTTACCAAAAGTTATTATTACTGTTTCCTTAGGGAGGCTAGTAGACTAAATTCACTTAGTTTGGTTTGTCTAATGTCCTCATTATCTTATCCTGAAGATGATGTCATTTCTCAGGACTTGAAAATGACTTGGCTGAACTAAAGGTAAAAAAGCCAAGCCTCTGTCACTTTTCCTAAACTCCTAGGCATAGCTATGGAGTCTTTGCACAGTGCCCACACCCCAAAAATTAACAATGAAAACCAAACCTCAGGAAGCTAGAGCAACTCTCTACTTGCCACCATGGACTCCAGTGGTCAGCATAAGAAAAGCAGATAGTTGCATTCTATTTAGTTTACAGCTGCTTTGTTCCTTCGTGTTTCACTAAGCAGAGGCTCAAGAATTCCCTTGATAACTTCAGCTGCCCCTGTTCTTTTCCTCAAACTCCAGGATGAGACCTTTAATGTGGGACAATTTCTGGTGAAGGTACTCACAGCGACGCTTTTCTTCTCTGTAACCTGGGTACCGCTGCAGAGAAAAAGCATCCATGTCAAAAAGTAAAAATTCTCATTTCTACCTTGCTTGCTTCCATTCCCCGACCTTGTCTTACCTTCCTGAACTTTTTATATTCCTGGACTATCTTGTCTTCCAGCACCTGAAACAGAAAATACTAGCACTGAGTTCAACATTAAGAAATAAAGAGAGGGGTGGCCAGGCACGGTGGCTCACACCTGTAATCCTAGCACTTTGGGTGGCCAAGGTGGGCAGATCATGAGGTCAGGAGATAGAGACCATCCTGGCTAAGACAGTGAAACCCATCTCTACTAAAAAATACAAAAAAATTAGCCAGGCGTAGTGGCAGGCGCCTGTAGTCCCAGCTACTTGGGAGGCTGAGGCAGGAGAAGCGTGAACCCAGGAGGCGTAGCTTGCAGTGAGCCGAGACCGCGCCACTGCACTCCAGCCTGGGCGAAGTGACTCCATCTCAAAAAGAAAAAAGAGAGAGGGGCCAGGTGCAGTGGCTCACACCTGTAATCCCAGCACTTTGGGAGGCTGAGGTGGGTGGATCACTTGAGGTCAGGAGTTCAAGACCAGCCTGGCCAACATGGTGAAACCCTGTCTCTACTAAAAATACAAAAATTAGCTGGGCATGGTGGTACATACCTATAATCCCAGCTATTCGGAAAGCTGAGGAACGAGAATTGCTTTAGCCTAAGAGGTGGAGGTTGCAGTGAGCCAAGACTGTGCCTGAGAGAGCTAGACTGTCTCAAAAAAGAGAAGTAACTTCCCTTCTCATTCTACTGAATGATACAATGATACAGACTAATTTTTCCCTTCAAACAGGTTTCCTTGTCACTGCTTAGTCACTTTATGAACACAGGCATACGGGTGGTTAGCAGGGGGTTAATGGCCAGTAGAGTTGGAAAGCCAGGCTGGGTCCTGTCATTACCTTATATTCCGGAGTTCCTCGCTGAACTCTTTTAATCTCTGCTCCCAGCTCTATGAACCTTTGGCTTGCAGTCCCAACACGGGCATGCAGGATGCGGTATTCAGCATAATCTGTCTCAAAGTCCTGCTCATAGGCATGTTGCTGTTCTGCACTGTGGATGGCCCTGTATTGCCTGCCAGGAGCAGAGAGCTGTCACCTTCAATTTCATTGCCCCTGAAAAGCCCTCAGCTTCCAGGAAGTATATCTTAATATATGCCCAAGGCTTCATGAAATTGGAAAAAGCAAGGGAACTCACAGGAGATAGTCTGGTACATCTTCAGGGCTTGGGGATTCAGAATCTAGGAAGGAATCAAGAAAACACAAGTGATTATAAGTCTTTTCCACTGGCATTTTTACCTTCCTTTCATTAACTCACCTTCTTGAACTGAGGAACTGCATTCTAATCTGGGGTCCATGTCTTCATCCTTATCTTCTTGCTCCCAATCTTCTCCCTCTTGTAAATCCTGATTGGTCAGGCCTTGTAGGGGGCTTGGCGCTAAAGGCAGAGTTCTGAACCTCTTTTCTTCTAGTTCTACAGTGGCCACAGGCACTGAACGTTTCTGTTGAGGAAAATATCTGTGTGACATAAACAGCCAAGAGCTTCCTAAATATGTTCTTTTCTCAAGAATTCCTCCTAGGCTGGGCACAGTGACTCATACCTGTAATCCCAACCATTTCAGAGGCTGAGGTGGGGGAATCGCTTGAACACAAGATTTCAAGACTAGTCTGGGTAACATAGTGAGACCCTATCTCTGCAAAAAAATCAGAAAATGAGCCTGGTGTGGTGGCACACACCACCTGAGGAGGGAAAATCAGTTGAGCCCAGGAGTTCAAGGCTGTGGTGAGCTGTGATCATACCACAACACCCTAGCCTGGGTGACAAGAGTGAGACTAAGAAAAAAAAAAGGATGGCTTGAACCCAGGAGTCTCCAGCCTGGGGAACAGAGAGACTTTGTCTCTAAAAAAATTCCTCCTATATAATGAGCTTCCAATTTCTTTCTTTCTTTCTTTTTTTTTTTTTTTTGAGACAGAGTTTCACTCTTTTTGCCCAAGCTGGAGTGCAATGGCGCGATCTCGGCTCACCGCAACCTCAGCCTCCCGGGTTCAAGCGATTCTCCTGCCTCAGCCTCCCGAGTAGCTGGGATTACAGGCATGTGCCACCACCCTGGTTAATTTTGTATTTTTAGTAGAGACGGGGTTTCTCCATGTTGGTCAGGCTAGTCTTGAACTCCCAACCTCAGGTGGTCCACCTGCATCGGCCTCCCAAAGTGCTGGGAATACGAGCGTGAGCCACCGCGCCCGGCCTGAGCTTCCAATTTCTAAGTTTTCACTTGACTAAAAGTGCTCTTCAAAATAGTCTTTGCCACTGTTTCATTATATCAATGTTAGAAAAAAAAAAAAAAAAGAAAAGCCCTTGCCATTATAACTTACCTTGTCCAGACGTTTCCGGCTGGCAGAGGAAGGCAGCGCCTGAACAGGTTCTCTGTTTGGAAGATGGGTCTGGTTTCTAGGATATTTTCAGGGAATGGGACAGATGAAGACCAGGGTAGGAGGTGGAACTGGATCTTTTATTACAACATTTAAGAGTGGAGATTAGAAAGGAAGACAATGCCAAAGCTTCCCATGTTAGTCCCACCCCGTCCCAAGTACCTCACTTCCCACTGTGCCATGTGCTCCCTTGAGGATCCTGGGAGTGACTGTCCTTGGTTGCTTGCCAGTGGATCTGACACTGACACCTGGTGGGGAAAGTGGCAGGAGCACTTGGTTTCCTGGAGTACTGGGATACCTTGGACTTCAGCCTTTGCCCCACCTTATCACAACTCCCTGCAGTTTCTGGCCTCACCTCCTCTAGTGCTATCTGTGGCTGTGATACTACATCTCCTTCAGAATAGTTTCCTGTGTTCTGCCAACTCTCAGGATGTCTGGCATCTTCAGGCAGGTTGTGTCCCTGAACTGATAATGGGGCTGGGATAGAATCCATGGCTGCCCAAATAATGAGGCGCTCCCTGAGTGAGCCCAGACAGTGGAGGCGGTTAGACCCAGACCTGGAAAGGCGTGGTGGAAAAAAATAGGGGGGTGAGCTCTTAAGCACCTCTCCACATTTCCCTCCCCCACTTTCCACAAACCCCTTCTTGCCTGCTACCTGTTCCCCCTTACCTGACGAAGCGTTGGCACACAAGGTCTAAGCTACCACCAGCGCCCTCCTGGCAGCACTGGGACACTATGAAGGAGAAGAGGCAGGACCAGCCAGGGCCTGGGAGCCTCAGATACTGGAGGTGGAAGGAGACGGTAAGCCCCATGAAGTCAGCCCCTCCCCCTCCTGCCGCCGCCACTCCTCCGGGAGCCAGCCTAAGTAAGACTAAGACGGGTCCCACAGGGCTCGTTAGCACACCAGGTGCAGCTGGGCCTGAGTTCCCCAGGAGGCTGAAACAGCACAGTCCCCTCAACCACAGCCCCCTGGGACAACCCCAGCAGCCTCCTCGCCCCATTTGGAGTTCAGTTCTCGGAAATACCTCAGACCGTGACCACTCGCAGCCTCCGGCCCCGACCGCACCTTCCACCTCCAGTCCACGTTTATGCTCCCTTGCCCTAACCTCGCTCACACACCCTGAGCTCGCACTTACCCCTCGGTGGCCTTGGAAGGCAATCACCGGCCGTACCTGCGGGGAGAGCGAAGATGTGACCATTGAGCGCAGGTGAAGCGGTATCCCCAGGATCCGGGGTCCGGAGCCCGGGATCACCTGCCTAGCCGGCTTCACTTGGAGAGGTGGGGAGGCCAGAGCTTGCGGATGCCGCTCCCTCTCCCCTGCACCTTCTCCAGGGTCGCCGGCTGAGGCCCAAGGTTCCCAGGGGCAGGGACTAGAGAAGAAGGGGGCCGGCCGTACCTGTTGCCGCTGACACTCTTGCAGCGCCCGCAGCGCAGCGTCGTTGAGCCTGAGCAGTAAGAGGCTGGTCCGGGCAGCTGGCGTGAAACAGAGCCGGCGCTGTCCACTCAGAGGCTCCTGGAGCTCCTCCATGGCGAAGAGTTCGAGTGCAAGCAGCACGGGGGCCACAGGCGAGGGCCACCACCGCCACCTCCTCTGTGCAAGGTTTGGCTGGCACACCCGGTAACCCACGTCTGCCCCACCCTCCGCCCGGAACCCGCCCCTGGCCCCACCTCCGGCCAGCACTACCCTGAGGTTTCCCAGCCGCGTGGGCGGCGCTTCGCTTTCCCGGGCCAACCCCCCGGACCTCGGCGCTCTCTTCTAGGATCTGCGTGAGTCGCTTTGGGCTATCGGAAGAGCTATCCCCATTTCTCGGGAGAAAGAGTCCGCGACCACTGTCTGACCTCTCACCCAGAGTCCCCAGTCCTGCCTCAGTTTCCCCAGCGACCCTGAATTTGGAGTTGCTGTCTCTAAGCGAAAGCTGAAACTGCAACCCTTTGAGGGTTTCAGCCACAGAGGGGCGGGAGAAAGGGCCTGATTGGTAGGCGGGCTCAGCGGTTCGCGCCCAGTTAGCCCCGAGCCTCGGAGACCAGAGGATGGCTGACCCGAAGGGGCACCCGAGACAGCGCTTGGGCTTTTTCCCGCCCGCCGTTCCACCGCGGATCTGAAACCGGTTTCTAATAGACTGGAGAGGTAATCGGGCCCTGCGGTTGTGGTGGCAGCAGCGAAAGTTGGCTGTCACCGACTGGAGCGCCCCCCACTGGTGGGCAGGGATGCGGGCGCGGGTAGTGGCAGGAAAGTTGCAGGGCAGAGAGCCAGAACCCAGTCCTAGGTCTCATCTCGTGGCCTAAACACACGTCAGAGTGGTGAGACCGCTCCCTGAGGAGGGCCAGGAGCTGCCATGAAGTCGCCAGGCATTCCAGAGGGCCAGATCCTGGTGCAGTGAGACCCTCTGGCCAGCCCTTGGTGTTTCCACTTGTTCCTGTTTGATTATATTTCCCAAGAGCCTTAATGTTGTCCTGTTTCCTAAGCAGGATCCGTCTGTTAAATCCCTGGACCTGCACAATCCCAGGGAACCTTAATGTCCTCCACTACAAATAAAATTACCTATACATTTGTCAAAACTCATCAAAAAAATACACATAATTTTTTTTTTTTTTTTTTTTTTTTTTTTTTTTTTTTTGAGACGGAGTCTCGCTCTGTCACCCAGGCTGGAGTGCAGTGGCGCGATCTC